TAGCACGTGTGAATAATATCTTGTGTATCGTGTTTTGTTATGCCGTTCGCTCTCGTTCGATAGAACATAGACGCGGTATGACGTTGGTTGCTCTCAGGAAATCTTTGGCTATCGAGACGCACAATTTGCGCAAGCCTGACACATACAAATTCTCTTGTCTGAATATACCATCATTACACATTGTCAGAAAACAGAGTAGCGAACAAGTTCGTTTGAGTTGATTCTTCTACGGGCTAATGCATTACAATTTATATCAAACTGTTTAGAAGGAGGGAGAAATTATGATAATTTGAAAAAGAAGTAATCAACATTCCAGTTCCATAACCGGATGTTGCTCATGCTTTACTCCCCACACATGCCTACTGGTTCGGGTCAATAGGGATGAGTGGGGGTTGGTGGGGGGTGGGGTGGGGATGGCTGTGTCGTGTGTGGTACTGGCCATGGATCACCGAGTGGTCTTACGAATTGTTTTTACGATCATATGGAGGGGGGGGGATTATGTAGGCGGATCCCGACCGCTTCCGCTGTGGCCAAAATGCGACTCTTGGATACATACGAATTCGCAGTCGTCATTTCATATGTAGCATCCAATCCACCGTGCAATGTTCTCTATGCGGTAGTCACAAGCTGTGCAGCGTTCCAAAATAGAGTTTCCACCGCTTTACTCCTACTAAGAACACCGAGTATGTACGCACCAGGCTCTCTAAAGGGAAGCAGAGATGTTCACAACAATTTAATGTCTGCATGTTGACTAAACTGCTCTTTTCTCAATGGACGTAGTTGACGACATTGAGAATAGAAATGACAGCTTTTTTCAAATCCCTCATGCACCCAAGCATGAGAGTTTACATGGTTCATTTGGTTAATCGATCTGTCACCGCATCATCGATTGTTCTCGGTAATCATTTTCGATCACGTTCAGTGACATGCTTAATTTTGAATCATAAAGTTCATCGACGGATGATCAATTGGTCAATGAGTTCACTTACACTGTCATACGCATCGTTAGGGTGGCGTATACAGGTGTCCCGCTAGGTAGTGGATGGGTTCTTCGTGTCATGACGGCTGTAAAGTTTGTCCCATCGTATATTATGTCGGGTTCCAGCATGTGAAAACATCAGTTGCGATTACTGTTCGATCAGCGTAACCGGTGACCTAATGCTTGAAAGTTGTAGTCGTGACCTCAATAACACAGATCCGGATGGCGCGGACACTACACATCACTCATGTTGGGTAGCGTTGATTGAGTTCGAACCTGGATCCTAGAAATTCGGGACACATCGGTGACACTGAATGATTCGCCTTTATTGCAGAAGCTACTCTCCAATTTCTAGACAAGACATTGTCCATTAAAAGAAGAATCAATAGTCTAATATCATGGGCAATTAAATGCTGTAATTCGTTTTATCTTTATCTCAGTGTCTGCGGCAGTTAAAGCGTTCTCTTGTGCAGAAATTATAGGCGATTATTTACTATTAGTTGGAACAGTCACTCGAGCATACGCGTCAGTTTGTAGACAATAGCTCTACCGAAAATGGTTTGAATTGCAGATTTTACTGACTGACAAGGGTCCGTACTCGGTCCCCGTCTGT